CTCGTCATACAGTGTTGGCCAAAGTAGGTTCAGGCTGGGAAAAGACCCGAGGTGGCCAGACTAAAACATGGCACAAATGCATGAAGTCTTTGACTATTGGTTTCAGCCATGTGGGGTGATGAAGACTAGTTGGTTGGGGTCCGTGGGACAAAAGGAAAAAGGGAAGGAGAATCAATGTCAGCGGCATAGATATATACACACATTATCATCTTAACGACGCTATACCGAGTCTCACGACTTTCTCATTCTTCCTTTCTTTCTTCTTGTACTTTATATTTCTTTTGACTGAATTTTCTTATCTTCATCTTTCACCTCATTATCTTTCTACTTGATGTAGTGATATGAGGTGTGGCACCTCGGACCGTTACACAGTAATGGCTGGTCCTATGTTGATTGGGAAGGACTCGTCATACAGAATCTCATTATCATCTCATTCTTATTTGTCCTGATTTTACGATTTCCTGTCATTTTTGGTTAACTTCTTCCTTGTTTTTCTCTTACATTTTGGTACCTTATTTCTTGTTGTGACAATCCGAACCGTTGTACAATAATGTCAGGTTGTCTAACGACTCTGACTGACTAGCAACCCGCCTAAATCAGTAATAATACCATTCACGTCTCTATTTCAGACTGAATGGATAGTGTATTGTTATTCTTGAGGCAGACGATAGATAAACTGCATGTATTCAACTAGCTGATTTCAAATATCTGATTCTCTTTTAGTTCATCTAAGCAATTCTTCACGATACACTTTTACTTGTTCGACCACTGGATTATCCAGTAAATAGTTCACCAACCCTCATCATCATCAATTACAATAGAATGCACCCACATAAACAAATGTATATTCCAGTCATAGTTACAACAGGATAGCGCCTGAAAAGGATGAATCGACGAGGTATTGCACACCAGCCTCATCTGATCAGACAAGTATTCCTTTTAGAAATTAGACGTTTAGAAAATGGAATTTCGAGTTCGCTTCTTCTTCTTGAGTGAATTTCATAAGTGGATGAGCACTATTGAAGGTTTCAAGGAGATTCTCAAGATTCATACTCTCGTCACAAAAAATAAAGGTATCATCTATGTGGCTTTTGTAGATATGAAGCTTTCTGATTAGTCTTGATAAAGTCGTGTTTTCCAAGCTTACCATTCAGGTAGGAACAGTGCTAGAGGCCATTTCACTGCCGTGCCGTCTATCTATCTGCAGATTTTGTCGTTAAGTCTGAACACCACGTCAAAAGCACATTTGAGAAGTTTCTTAAAATAGTGATTTCGGATACCAATTCATGCAACTGAATGAAGCCTCACAGAAAACATACGATTTCTGTTAGTCAGATAGTTGTAAACAGAGAGATGATAACCACAGAAATCATCCACTTTCCTGACAGTTTGATTAAATCAAAAAAGTGAAATGTATCAGTAGACTGTTTCACAATTTAATTCTTCATTGGATCCAGTATCTTGACGAGTCATTTTGTGACTGAATGGTGAGGATAAGCTGTCATTTCTAGGTATCGGACGCAGGGGGCATCACCATTGTGCACTTTGAGTAGACTATTGTAGTCGACGGATATGTAAGATCTTTCTGAGCTGTCTACTTGGAAAATTTGTTTCCATCACCTAGAGTGAGTGAAAGCTTATCTATACAATCCAATTTGCTCAGAAACACTATCCTAGAACCTTTATCAGGGTGTATCATAACTAGGCTCTTATTTTTCTGGAGATATCTCTAAGTTGATTTCCATTTCGCTTTGATAGAATATATTTAGTTATAGATATTTTTATTTGTGTAATCAAGGTAGAAATTTAGAAAGGGTGATCTGAAATGGTTGTGATTTTATTAGATGAGGTTTGAATTAGATCTTTCGTTTAATAAATCAAATTCTCGAACTGTAACTTTTGTGTTGAGTTCATCAGACTTTGGGTATTGTTTTGCAGAATTTTTAAAGTGGCAGGTAGCGATATACTCGAATAGTTGGATAAATACTTCTCTGAGCATAAGGAGAAAATAGTTTCATGGTGTATCGACTTCAAACTCTTATTCAGTTTTATGTTAACGACATCAAAATGCTTCTTTCTAGTGATAATAGCAACGTAGTTGTCAAATTCTTTCCTTTCTTCCGAAGATAATTCAAATAGAATGTGACGTTTTTCAGACAGTTGTCATTTTACTTCTAGTAATCCAGAACCATTAATATGGTTCAAAGTAGGTGAATTAGGAGACATATAATTGAGTCTTAAATTCTTTCACATTGTAGCGAAGAAACATTTCTCTTTGCGATGAAATCATTCCCTTAGGTGTACATTTATGAAAAAAGAGAAGATTTCAAAGTAGTTTTCCGTCAAGGTTTAACATAGATTGTATCACAAAGGAAAGTCACGTAATGGAGAAAAAATGAAATGATCATTGTCATCCATGAACATAGGATGAGGCATTACTGCGTAACCCTCCGAATTGCTACACCTCATATCAGTACATCAAGTAAAAAGGCAGTCAGACGGAAGATGAAGAAAAGGAAATTCAGTCAAAGGAAATATAAAGTACTAAAAGAGAGAAACGACGAATGAGAAAAAAGTGAGATTCAGTATAGCGTCGTTAAGATGGGGATAATAGATATATGTATACATCTGCGCCATTGACATAGCTTCTCAGCCATGCCATCACCTAGAATCTCCGACCACTGGTTGCTCTTGTCCCACGGACCCCAACCAACTAGTCTTCATCACCCCACATAGCTCAAACCAACAGTCAAAGACTTCATACATTAGTGCCATGTTTTAGTCTGGCCACTTCGGGTCTTTTCCCAGCCTGAACCTACTTCGGCCAACACTGTGTGACGAGGCAATCGGCGACTAGGCATACGTAACACGTATCTCAACCATCTCAGTCGATGAAACGATTACGAAATAGGAATAGTTACATAATATGGGAGTTACCTACCGTAATCGATATTCTACGATGGCGATGGCGAATAAAGAAGTTGTACATATTTCTTTATAACGAATAATGATGGTTTGAATTTTTGAATTGGTAATGCTTAAGCTAAACCCACATGTCTTAACCATACACCTTCCGAGTGACTTCTTTGCACTTTTTACGGAATTTCCAAGGAGTTATCAAAAGAAGGCGAATGCCCTGAGTTTACTAAGAGTTGTGTTACAGAGCTGAAGAAACGTTCCCGTTCTTTCCTTGTAAGCAAAGTTGGATAGTGTTCGCAAGCACATTGCATAAAGTGGCGCACAGTACGGACAATGTGCACGGCTTCACATGAGCAGGAAAACTGTTATAAATGCATTGATGTAGCCCAATGCTACAACTTATCCTTTTCCGTGCCGACGAATGAGTTCCTAACAGTGGAGTATAGTTCTAAGATTGGTGGTAAGGAATGTTTTGTTTATGAACGTTGATAGTATCATTTTAAGTATACCTACCGCTTTATCTCCCTGGAGTTGGAGATTTAACAGTAAAATCTTTTTCGGAACAATATCCACGCGCTGTGTACTATTTTCTCGGCTTAAGATTCTTATTTACAAATTTCAGTGTGTTTCCATTTCTCATCAGGATTTCTCGTAAGTTTCCGAGTTCATCATACATGGTATCCTCCGTGCATATTCTATATATTCTTGAGGAGAGTAAATTAATAAGATTACACTGTCTGTTCGAAACATACTTTCTGTAAATACATCTCTGGAATGAATTTCCATCTTTTCTTTAAAGTTGGACATCAAACAAACGGAATCTCGAGTTCGACTATGCTTTTGGAGTGAACTTCTCTCTTATATAATAAAATAGTTACAATATTATGAAAGAATATTTCATATATTAATGAAGAGGATCCTCTTATGACTTTAATCATACAGCAGGAAGAATCAGGTTTCAATAAACTACTAATGTGACTAGCATTACTACTTGTGAGCTACTGAGAGATACATCAAATAGAACCCATGTAAGACAACCCACTGCATGTCTATGCACTAGGCTTATAACACTACCAGGTTACTCACTCAAGTTGAATTAGCAGACGGCAGGGCGTTAGGACCATGAACCGATTCTTTGAATTTAAACTCAGCTCACCGCACTTCTGTGTCTAACGTGAACAAATTTATGAAAGACAATAAAAAGAGGCTTTATTTGAAAAGACAATGAAAAAGAAAAGTCAAAGGAAAGAATAAACTGTGATAACAAACAAGTAATCGTGAAGTCAAGTCACAGGTACACACACACACACACACACACACACACACACACACACAACCTATGATAATGTACGCGAAGATTAGCAGTGGCAGTAGTAGTAGTAGTAGTAATAGCAGTTTTGTATGTGTAGATGCGCCAGCCAACCTGAGCATAAATAACCTTCTTGACAAAATCATTGAGTTATATTAACAAAAGATTCATCTCACAGAATAAAATTCAACACCGTAGTATCTATCAAGCATATCATCATGTCATACTGTTCGCTTAGATTCCAAAATCACTATTAATGTTGATTCTCTTTGCTGAAAATTTCAATTTTAAGGTTAGCAACATACAAAAGAGTAGGAGAACAAGATTATTAGTGATGAATAATCACCAAGAGAAGTATCAACCACGTAAAAACAAAATCCATTTTACCCAAAAAATATTTTACGTGACGGAGAGAGAGAGAGAGAGAGAGAGAGAGGGGCGGGAGGAGAACTTGTTCACAAAATTAAACCACAAGTATTCACCACCACCAATCTTTCTCCCACTGCCTATGTAAAAGAATAAACTTCATAGCCTATGAGACTTTTTGATTAGTAGAAAAAGATGATAACACTATTTAACATTTCAGTATGCATTATAAAATGAGTCGAAGAGAGAGGGAGAAAGAGAGAAAAGGCAACAAGGCATGTATCATACACAGTACACTCTTCAAACGGGAAGTTATTAGAAAGAAATGTGTGTGTGTGTATGTGTATGTGCACGGTTCGGTGTCTACGCATTGTCTATACTGACTACTTTCTATAGCTTATATCTTCTATGATGTACGAATAGTAGACAACTGATGAGGACTAGACGAAACTGGATATGAATTAATTCCTGTCGTATTGGATTGCACTGATGATGATGATGTAGGATATAATTGTTTAGCTGTTTGCATTAGAATTTTCAACGCTGGACCAAAACATTGAATATCTGGTAATTGAGAAGCTGATTGAATTAACAAATTGACTTGTTGTAAAGCATCAGGGTAATTATATTGTTCAGCTAACAATGTACACTGTTGTAGATGCTCAAATAATGAACCAGTTAACTGTAATTTACCCATGGATATATTCTTAAAAAATTGTTCCAATCGACGCTCTACATCATCCATTTTATTACGATATTGCTGAATGAAAGAAAAGATTTTGATTAATAATTGAAAATTAAGAGAAAAAGAAGTTGGATTTTCAATTTTATAAAGGAAAAATGAATCACTAGAAGACTTTGTGCTAAACAGATCTCAATTGGGACTGCACACCAACAGGATTTACTTTGAACTAAACTATGCAGAATAATTCAAATATTGATTATTACAATAGGCTGCACGGAATGTCAGTCAACTCTTTATGTCAACTTCGACGATTTTCAAAACGCCTTCGACAGCATAGACCAAGAACTAATGTGTCAGTTGCTTCAACACTGTGGTTTTAGTGCTACAAACCTTTATCAATCTCACTCAACAACTATATGAAGACGCCACATACCAAGTGATTCACAATAGAAAGCTCAGTGACACCCTTGAAGTGAAGACAGGAGAAAGACAAGGTTACCATCTACTATCTATCACCTATGACCTTCCTGATTGTGGTCTACTGGACTCGACTGCAGTGGATCATACAACAGACAACTTTGAGAAGTGAGAAGATGGGGCATACACTAGCTGGACCGATGAGAAGACCCCAGAAGAAGATTTAGATTTCATCGATAATGATTTATGTCTAATGTCTTGTTGTACAAACTTGAAGATGTACAGGCGAGAATGAACAAGTTGGCAGAAGAGTTGAGGCAGCCAAGGAAGACACGACTTCGTTCAGGTGAACGTAGAGATAACATACATAGGTGATGTAGATACCCAACCAACAACAAGAAGCATCAATCACGAAAATCGGGATAAATCAATACGAAGTTCTTTCTTTCACGTACTTAGGCGGTGGCACCGGCACAGATGAGGACGTCAAAGACAGCAAGACAGAACTTCAATATTCTGAAATAATCAGTGTGGACACCTACTACACTGCACTGTATTCAGCATAGAGCGTGAACAACATCCAGATTTTCAACACTAAAGTCAGTGCTTCTTTGTGATGGTTGAGAGAGTTGGTTGCACGTTACGAAAAGCATTTCCAACAAACTGCACACACATACATGAATCACATGAACAACTGCCGCCTACATTCACTCGATACTGATAATGAAGGTGAAATGACCAGAATAATAAGAATGAGCAACAAGGAACTCTAGTTGACTAGCTGATAACGAACCAACAAAGTAAAAAATGGAGATGGATTAGGTTGGACATTTACTGAGAAGACCATTTAGGGACATCATACACCACGTTAGGCCAGGGGAGGTCATCGAGTTGAACCCGCATAAGAAACGATGAGTTGGGCGTCCTAGTTGAAGGTGAGTGACATAGAGGAGATGATGTGTGTGAGGAATAAATGAAATCTTGTGAGTAGTCGTAGAGCCAGGTTGAGAAGACTTCAGAGGAGAGAGTGAAATGGAGACGTGTTAGTGAAACCCTACGTTCCGCTAGGAACCCAAGAGATATATAATAATAATAAAAAATAGATAAGTAAACTGAGACATATCATTTAAACTTTCAATAAAAACTTACCTTGCCTCCAATTTGACGACAATTTTGAATTAAATTAATCAACAGTTTTTGAATAGATTCATATTCTTTTGGTAATATATAATTATTATTAATATCTGTAATATTTCTAGAGTCTTTCATTGGTGGAAATAACTGTGAATCAAGATTATTAATTATATCATGACCAGAAGAATTTAATGTTAAAGTATTATCATTATAATAAGTAGTATTGTCAGTCACTTTTATACTGGAACATAAAGGTTGTGCTGCTGGCCAAACAGTTGATGATGATGATGATGTAGATAATGAAGTTACTACTGATTGTGGTTGTGATAATGATGAAGATAAACCGAAAAATTGAGAATTTTGTTCTATAGATGATTGAAATTGACTATGAAATTGTTCTTGTTGCTGAATTCCTCCTTGTAACTGAGAATATGTAGAAAGAGTTGTTAATTGTTGAACAGATGATGATTGTAATGTATTCATAGATGGTAGAGAATTATTAATTGATGCAGGATAAGGTAGTAGACTTGATTTTATAAAAGATGATTCAGATGATAAAGGCGGTATAGGAGGCATATTTGGTTGTTGTATAGATTTAGAAAAATCAGTCATCTGTGGAATATAATTATTCAATTGAGGCAGAGAAGAATTACTGAACTCTATTGGATTGTAATATGGATTATGTGATACTGTTGGCTAAAATATATCAAACAAAACAAAAAACGGTTAAAAAGTAGGGGGGGGGGGAAATACCAACTAACACAGATCCAACGAAGAATGTTAGCATAACAACCTGTGAGTTTGACATTGATACTCTGAATTCTTGCTTGATTTAAATACTACTTCTTTGTTTCATTGTTTATCAGAGCTTTTTGTGAACTATGCTTCCGTTTTTACACTTAGTTCAATGAACGCCAGACCTACATTATTTTATATATTTTGGTAACCCATCTATGTCACTGATGATTTGGACGAAATCGAAAATGCATCAGGTAGACAGGTAACAGCATTATTTTTATTACAGTTTGATGTAATCTTGAGCTATATATGAAGTTGAAACTGCCAATATGGGTTAAAACTTCAGGTTACAGTTATTACTTTGCTGTTGTTAAGATACTGTCCACCTAACTCTTAAAACTGACTTTGAGAGTGATATGTTCAGACGTATCTGTCTCTCCAACATTGACTATGAAAACTTAAGAGGGGATTTTAATGTCTGATATCCAGTGGAATCCTATTAAAGTACCTAAATCTCATCATTATTTTGCAAATGCGGTGTTGTTTTATGGCTAAACTTATGATGTAAGTCAGCAACAATAATATTTTTGGCCTTATATTTACACACTGGTTGTTTTCACCTGATACACAAGTTAGACCAAAATTCTTACATCATGATCATAAGACAACTGTGTCAACTTTCGAAATGGTAAATGACAGTCACCGGACGAAATCTATCACGAACTTCTCTAAGATTAACTAAAGGCCTTCAGTATTTCTGATTTGTTGAAAAAACTGGGAACAGTTCTTTCATACTACACACATATATGTTATAGGCGACAACTTTTGTTCCAACTTATCAGTCCGTTTTGATAATTTGATCTTCTGGAATACATTTAGACAGGTAAAGGATACAGTCAAATCTATCCAAGGCAATCAGTAAGTTGAATTGCACAATGAATGCGATTAGATGATCAATCAGTGATCCTGTAAGGAACTTTATGTGTACAACTAACTTGTAATGCACTTTTTCATAGAATGTATTATTGCTAAAACTCATATCTAAGAGTTATATACGGTAACCATGATCTGGTATTCAAAATATCTTAAAAGTAATTCCACAGTGAGTAAACTGTATCAGTCATTATTATTTTTCCCTTAGGTTCTTCCGCAAACCATCTTTCCCATGTCACCCTCAGCTTGGACGCCCCATTCGTCGCTTCCACTTACCAACTTCCATCATCTCTGGTGTCAACTAGATAGATATTCGACTATCTACCAAAGGACGAGTATACTGCGTTGCAGTCGATGATATCCTGTTAAATCGCTGTGCGACAAAGACAGTTGATAACAGAACACATGAAGCAACCACAGGGTTTCGATCAAAGATGTCTTTGTTTCATTCCTCACTTTTGCTGAAATCATTATATAAAATACGTTGAGGTTAGGCGAAGGGTACTAGGCAAGACAGACAACTTGATTCAGGAGGTTTTGAACCTTAGACAACTGAGATGGCTTGAACATGAACTGTGCATGACCAGCCACCACCTACCTTGATGTGTCATACTAGAAGAAGTTGGATTAGGTTGGAAGATGGTTCAGGGTGGTCAGACCAAGACTTGGCACCTTGTTGGTCTGAGTCATATGACGACGACCTGACTGGAGTCCCCAAGATGAAAGGAATCAGTGGTTAAGAACTTTAAGTGACATAAATGAAAATCTGTCACACAATGGCGGAGATATATTCACTACTTAGCATCTTTCAAAGCTTGAATATTTGCACTAAACATTATCATCAGATTTTCTGTTCTCTCACATAACTTTGTCTACTTTGATATCACTCTTTGTCAATCCATCTGTTCTTTGTGTACTATTGTGATTTGTGGCAAATTGAGCTGATGCACCTGTGTGCAAAGTTCTACGTTGATTTCATCAGTTAGTCACTATGATCTAAGTGAGCAGGAATATGAACCTGTGTGTACTAGTGATTAAAAGTTGGATGTCTATGAAACTGAACTATAACATAACTTCACTTGTTTCCTTTCATTCTACATATTATAATGCGGTTGCATCTCCTTTTAAACTGATGAAGAATACAAACGTTGCCATTAATAGAGCTAAGTTGGCTATTAATTACCACTTTATATCTTATTCAGTTGTTTCTTTCAGTGCACTGAAGTCAAAGGATTCCTAAGGTTTTCTCAACTAACTTCTTAGTTAGATAAGAATAATATGAGCAGGGATGAACCATGAAGCATTTCTCCACAAAAAAATTAGATTATCAAGCATCAGTTTCAACTCTTCCAAGCAGACATAGGTATTCATTATTCCCCTAACTATATGAATAAATCAAAATTGACATTATTCATAGTTGGGATACTTTTTTTGTTGGAAAGGATACCATCATCATAATCAAGATCAACATAGGACCAGACATTGCTGCTGGGTAACGATCTAAGTTGCCACACCTCATATCAACACGTCAGGTAACAAGGCAATAAAATAGGAGATGAAAAAAATACATATGCGCCACGGACATCGGTTCTCAGCCATATCACTTTGAGTTTCCAACCAATAGTTTCTCTTGTTTCCTTGACCCCCTTCATGACTTAAAAGAAAAGTCAGAGACTTCATGCATTCATGCCATGTTTTAGACTGGCTACTGCAAGCCTATCTCCAGCCTGAATCTACTTCTGCCTACATTGTGTGACGAGACACACGATAGCTAGGCATACGTAACACACGTCGGAGTAAGCCACCTTAGTCGATGGAGGTTCACGATCTTATCAACTGTCTTACCTCTCCCTAAAACTCAACGTCTGACTTCTGCGTTACTCACGTAGTGACACACGACAAAACATGGCCAATGCTACGAAGAGAACGGCGGTCAAACGCCTTAAACCTTCTCATGTCTTCCACCTTCAATCGCAGTGTTTCACAGACATGCAGTAGAACAAAAGGAACTGCAGTGCAGTGCATTCAACCCTTAATAAATAATCATACATCACGTCGGCACTAGAGATGGGGTAAGTTGGAAAAAAACCCACCGAACCTTTTGTATTCGTGTAGAGATTACGTCAACCACTGACAAACGGCAACAGGGTTGATTCGACTTCACAAGTAAGTGAAGTGTTCTACGCGCTCAACCACTGCACTCTCTATTGTTAGTAAGGGTAAAGTTGAAGACCCGTCTTGAAGCAATAATTTGCATTTGGACGGCGAGAAACGCATTCCAAACATTATAAATTTGCCAGTCAAGGTTGAAAACGGCACATAAAGTGTAAACATGGATCTCCAGGTCGCTAAGCATTGTAAGTTGATTTCGGTCGACCAGTCGATAGATGACGGCTTCTGATGATATGTCTGAAAACTGAAAACTAACACCATGAAAAGAAGAACGGGTTGAACAATCTTCTATTCCGTGCACAGTTCACCTTTCTCCATATGGATGGCAAGAGCTTCGGCGATGCAGAGAACACGAAGACATACAGCATTTGGAAGGTTTCTTTCCGCTTCATCGATCACTTTCAACGAGGACATCCTTGAGATAGAGAGATTCGTATTCACCATGTGTTCCATTTTATCACTCTTTTTTATCACTCCATTCTTACCTCTCTGTAACCACACGAGATAGTGTTCTTCAACCCTTTTGGGTGACAGTCACATCGAACTACCTATATACCTGGTTCCACAACAGCAGATCAATTGATATACCCACATAGAAGTGGTCAGATAAGAAAGTCTCTCTTTCGAGTTGTTAGAAATCGTTGGGTGACAAGAGGATATCAGTCTCAGCATTGATGCAAAGAACGTTCTCCTTATAGCGTTTAAAATCCTCTTTTTGAGAGTGTCAGTAGCAGAATTAACTTAGAAGTTTACATTCATACAGATTGTTTGTTTTGGCACGATGGTAAGGTTTTCTTTGAGAGGTTTAAGTTTGATGTGTTAGTCGATGAAGTGTGGTGGGAATCCGTTTTCAATCAGGATGTTCTTTAGAACAGCAGTTTCCTCTTCTAACACATTGGGGTTGTAGATTCATTCAATGCAAGTGGTAAGAGATATGATAAGATTTCGTTTACCACTCATACGCATACTGCTGCTAAAGTTAGTCAGTTGACAATTCCACATTCGTTTTCTGTGAATTGATCGACTTATCGTTCCATCAGCAGTTCTTGTCAGCTCTACATCAATAAAGTGAATTTTCGACCGCTTTTCAAACTCAAGGGTGAATCGAATTGCTGAACGGTAGTTATTGAATATTTGTAGAACATGATTCCAATCATGTTGATGATCACAGATAGTAAAAGTATCATCCATGTGCCTTTTGTGGAGATGAAAACCTTCAATGGTTAACTTCAGTGGTCCGTTCTGCAAACTGATCATAAAGAAGTCTGTTAGTAGTGGACCTTGTTGGGGTCCCATGGCGATTCCATCTCTCCGTCTATAAATCATATTGTTCAATATACACTATAAGTTGAATATGCATTTAAGTAACAATTCGTTAAGGTGGAGGTTCGGTATCCTAACATTTATGTTGTTATCTTCTATGTGTCTGCATAAAAATGAGACAGTTTCGGTAATTGGAACATTGATGAAAAGTGTGTCGACATCAAGTGATATCAGACATTTATCAGATACATCTTCGTCTCTTATTCAGCTAACAATTTTGAAGGTATCATGTAGAGAGCGGATGGTGATTCGTCTTTTTACAGGCTTTAGGATTTCGACTAGCCATTTCGCGACTGGATGATAAGGAGATTCAAACATGTCTAGAGTCAGATGAAGGGAAGGACCGACGTTGTGAGATTTCGGTAATCCGTAAAGTTGTGGAATTGTGGAGCCTGATGGTTTGATGCGTTCGTACAGATAATTGGTTATTAGCTGAGCATTTTTCTTTGACGTTTTCAAAACATCAGTACATTGTTGTCCAATCGATTCCGTCTTTTTTCCTCTTTAGCAGGTTTGCAGAATTTCTTTTC